ATTCGGAATATACACTTTCAGTTATATATAAAAACAATATATCTTGAGTGTATTATTATTTATCTAGTAAGCATAAGTTATGCTGCATAACCGTATACAAACTATAATATTGTATAGATAAATTATTGCATGGATTGGACTGTATAAAAATAATTTCAGTGTATACATTGATAGAGCGCTAAAGAGATGGAATGGAATGTATATTAAACAATTAAATATATGTTATGTACTTATATATAGCATAATGAATTGTATCAAAATCGCGGAATCGTGGTCTACTATTACGGTACTTTATATTGTAATACAAGTACGCAACAGTTCAAAATAATCATCATAATATGTACTATGTTTGGTATTTTAACTATGTTCAATTTCTGAAAAAATACACAATTATACCTACCTATAAGATATTACACGTATATACTCCATTTTATTGCAGATTTTCGAAATATATGAGCAAAAATAAGTGGATAATAAAATTAAATGAAAAGCTTAAAATTTAGTTACTGTTTTATTGGTATCCTGTTTATACGTCAAAAATATCGAAAAAGTCTAAAGTACGTAAAATGTATTGATTATATGAAATAATCAAAAAATATGTTCATGGTTTATACACAGTTTATGAATATGAAGAATTCATCTTTAAACATAATAATATTTTAATTTGCTATAGTTGTGTATGGTTATAAAATAATTAAATCAGATTATATACGTATAATTATTATTTATCAGACTTCAAAAAGTAACTTTTCCGATTTGTGAATTTCGGTAAAACTAATAGTGTAATAAATAATAATAATATTGACATTAGAAAACTAAAACTTATTTTCTCTGCAAGAAAAATTACTAAATGTCAACAGAAGTTTTTTTTACAGTACAATTATTAATATTTTATAAACACAGACTGTTTAAGCTTATTATCCGTTAGTTCACTATAAAATATATGCCTAACTTTAATAATTCATCTGTGGCTACAAAGTTTCAACCCCTCGAATTTTCCAGTCAATTTTCATGTTTTGAGCTATAATATATTATTATATACCAAACCAATTTGCACGCAATATTGTATTATAATATTATTAAAATATAGTAATAGTAAACACAGACGATTCAATGAATACAAACGATAATAATTTAAAAAATATGATTTGGAATGCGTGTCATTTTTTTTATTGTCTCACGTTTTATTGATTTCTCTGTAATCTATTAGTAAAGTATAGGAAAATAGGATACAATTAAATTACACCTAAATTTTGCCTTTGAAACGGGAAATCTGAATCAAATCAATCTGCATTGGCCGTTAATGCAACTTATGCAAGTATTTGTTACAAACACCGTTTGCATTCAATTGTGACGAATCTGAATAAACAATACTAAAAACTTAACATAAATAATATGATGTTCACACATTATAGTAAGTTTACAAACACAACATTGTATTTCGATTTGGACTTGGTTGAAATATTTAATATAGTTAGGGTAACTCAGACGAGTTTTCAGTTCTATCGTAAAACTATAGATACATTTTATTTTACGTTTCTTGCAATATTATACTGATACAGTCTATCTTTACTGTGTAAATTGCTTAGACGCATAGTATTTGGTAGAACATTACACATATACATTTTGCATAATATAACATTTAAATCGGTGGATCAATTAATATTTTCAAATTAACAAGTCAAAAATTACAATTACTTCTAACTTTGACTGTACTTTATTCTTCAATGTTATTAGTAGTGACCAATGGTCATATTATATCATTAAAAAATGTTTAAGTTTATAATGATATGCTACAAGTTTTGTGAGTAAATAATAATTTTTTTTTATTAATTTAAAAAATATAAACTACTTGTATATTGTATATAACAATTTTAAAACCTCAGTGATCCAGAAATTTAAAGTACAAGTAGAAGAACATTGCGTATAAACGACTGTTTTACGTATCTAACGTACCTTCATAAAATATATATACATATATATATATAGGTTTCTATTATTATTTTACGTTTAAATTTGCGTATACCTATCGGATTATTTCACTGATTCTTTTCAACAATACCAGTCTCAAAATAATACTTTAAACAGTTTAATGGATAACTAATGAACTAGGTAGGTGTATACTGTATAGCCCATGTATGTGTATGTGCCATGCTATGTAGATAAACCAAATAATCCCAAACTTTCAAATTCCAAGTATACACACACGTATTGAGCAAAACTTGTATCATTGTTTCAGTAAAAGTATTCAATTATATAGTTTATTATGACTTTCTATTATACAATACACACACAAACGCACATACAAATATTTATGTATGTATTACATAAACATATATATATACTAAACATTTAAATTGTCACTTGAAATGGAATAAATTTATTTTGACGGTGACAAAGACGAGATAAAAAGGCGCATCACAAGCGTATTGCGTTAAACGTTCTGGAAGAATGTATACACAACAGTGTAAAGGAATGAAACGATCCCACTTCACGGAGAAAAACTTGTGAATTGTAGAATGTTGGTGCCATCTGCCTCCTCGGGCACCTTTATATTTTTCAACCATTTCATTCACTTATTCACTGTATATTCACATAAATGTGTAAATGTATAAATACATATTAAATAATATTATTATATATCATAAATACTCCCACCGTATGAATCCGGTGCACATATTGTAATACGTCATGGCCGTGGAAATTTAATTTATTGTTATTATATGTAGGTAGCTAACAAAGTTTATAAATTGTGATAACACTGTGAAAAATAATAATAAATTAAATAATAATTATGAACTAACAAAAACTAATATAAATTTGGTAATATTTTAATGCTATACGTGTGTTTATCATCGTTATCAATCAAATCTTGTAAAAATTGTTAATTATTAAAAGATGAATTAATCGTCCTAAACGTTTTTTATTCTTGCGACCGCTTAAAAATAACACTCTAGAGTGCAGTTCAACGTATTCTCTTCTCCGTATAGATAATGTGTTATTTTTTTACTGGAGTATTATGATCGATTAATTCTTTACAACCATTTTTTTTGGATGATATCTGAATATAATATGTCGTTCACGTACTATTCTATAAAACTCTATTATGTAAAGGGCTGACTCATCAATGTGAGTATTGTTTAAATTGTTCCTTTCTATACATGTATTAGGAAGTCCCAAGAATCGCATCTTTGATTATTTTATACGTACGTACATATTATATCCTGCTACTAAATTTAATTTTAAGTCTATTATTATTATTATTAATATATATGAATAAAATTAGCATTTAAAAAGCACTTACTATTATATTCATATTGTTAGGTTTGATAATCACAAAAATTGAAAAAATTGTTTATTAACACCGAAAAATATATTAATACGTTTTTAATTTTCATTAAATTAAGTATTAATTAGTTATTAATTTCAAATAAAAAATAATACAAAACATTATCACCGAATAAGACTTTTACTAAAATAATAAGAAAATACAATTTTAAACAAATGTTAGCTTTACTTTAACGGTAACAACACGTATTAGATATTTAGACGAAATGCGTTTTTTTTTTTGTCAACATTTTTAGAATATCATAGTCGATTTAATTACTGAATCTTTAGAGTAGGTACATATTATAAATATATATTTTATGATCAAATCAATGTTTCTAAGATATTCGTTGTTTTTTTCTAGACGATTTGACTTATAGTACGTATATCTGTTATCCATATGTGGAAATGCGTAACTAATATCTAATAATATGTGTAAGAATTTAATAGTGTCTTTGACTTATTTATATTTTGACTATTTTATAAGGTAAATGTTAAAACTATATTATTTTATGCATATAACATACTTATTTAATTATTTTTTGCTTCAACTAATTTGTAAAACCATCATAAGGTCCCTGTTAAAGTGTTAAATTAAAGCTTTGTTTTATATTTTAAATACGTATCTTACCATATCTTTACTTTTATAGATACACGATGTTTCTGTATGTTAGATTATTTTTTAAGCTTTATAAAACTTGATAATTTATTATAATTATATTAGTTTTAAATGTAACTAAAAATCTAGATTCAATGTTATTATAAATATTAAAATAAATAAAATAATAATAAAATATTGTATTTAAGTTGTCATTGTTTATATTATAATGTATTATATTTGATAATGCAACAAAAACTTGAAATTATTTTAAATATTATTTTGTCTATCACTTAAACTAGTATGTTGGTAAAATTAAAATCAAGATTACTGTAACATTTTATCAATTAAAAACATATACCTATATACAAATTAAAATTAAAATATTCTATGTATTAAAGCTACGTATCTCCTATTTTGATCTTGAAAACATTTAATTTAACGAAAAAATGTTAATTGTATTAGATTACAGTGCTAGTTGTCTTAATAAGTTAGATAGAAGCAATATATTTTGTTTCAATTTATTTAAGTAATTATATAGTATTTTGATTTTCCTTAAAAGTAACATAATTACAGGTGTGTTTTTACTTGTTAGCGTTGAGGAAGTGATAGATATTTATGCATATATTTGTTTTTAAAAATATTTATTACACGTAACAATCGATTGCATGAAAAAGTTAATAACAAAACCAAAATTTAAATTATAATTTTCTATAATGTTAGTAAAAAAAATAAAAATAAATACATATTATTATTATCAGCAATCAATAAAAAGTATATTATTATAAATATTTTATAGCTCATTTATTATGGGCTATGGGCTATGGCTTACAAAAACCATACTTATCTTTTTGTGCAAACTTGATGTTATGTTTTTATGTGTTCATACATTTTATTTAAACTAATGATATGTTTTAAATGTTGACATTTTGTAGCATTATTACATCGATCATCGGTTGCATTGCCTTTGAACGAATGATTCGTCATGTTCAACACATGACAATTTGAAAAAAAACGGATATTATAACTATACCCAATTTATTTTTAACATTCGTGTTTTTTTTTTTTTTTGCAGATCAATTGTTTTGTGGTGCTGGAAAATGTATAGCTGTAGAGCACATCTGTAACGGCGTATTCGACTGCGAATGGGGACAAGACGAACGGAATTGCGGTAAATTATTATTTTAAATAACAATATTCCTTGTCCCGGGAGGAAAGAAAACACATAAACACACGCATGTCGCACACACACGCACACACGTGCGCATATTTTGAAATGTCACAAAAACGAGGAAGCAGAGTTTTTGTATTTATATTTATGTGTTCAATGTGTGTGTACAGTGCGACTTAGTGGCGAGATGGGAGTAATCGGTGAAGGGATGCTGGAGCTTTATTCACCGAACACAACGTCTTGGCGACCCGCGTGCATTCAGAGTTGGGATTCAGAACTGTCGGCCACCATAATTTGCAACATACTTGGATACAAGTAATATCTGCATGATTAACCATGCCATGCCTCCCATCATGAGTTATATGTCACATACAACCTTAACACACCTACTATAATATTATATGTGTGGTACCTAGTAAATTAATTTTATATTATTTTACAATAATATTACAATTAAGAGTAAAAATATAAGATTTTCGATAATTGATCTTGCAAATGTTGATTCGTTTCTTTTTTTTCATTATGCGAAATTTACTGACTAATGTAATACTAGGCTTAATTTAAACAATAAAATCATGACAAAATATTAATATTATTTAGTAAACTACTGTACAGAGAAAAATGTCGTAAAAAAAAGTAAAAATTTCCCATCAATATAACAATTTATAAAATTATAATACCTACCTGTACAATATACATACCGTATTATAATACATATATTTATTATTTTATGTATTTATATTCCATGCATAATATATCCACCCCGATTTATTGCACAAATAGCTTATACGATAATGGTGTTCCTGATTCAGACGAAAAACTCGTTTTTTTTCATTGTAAATTTCATTCATAAATTACAGGTTATCTTCTAGAAGCGTGCTCGGCGAAAACAATAAGCTTTTGGCATCTGTTAAGTACAACCAATCAAAAGAGTATTACGACGAAAATAAAATGACCGTATACAGGGAAATCCGATACTGTCCGGATACCTACTTGTACCCGTCTATAAGTCTCTTATGTTCTAATTTTGGTAAGTTTTTCATTGGTTTGGAATTTTTATAATTTCGTGACAAAATATAAATTAGATAAAATGTATAGGTTCCTAATATGGATAAAAAAAAAAAAATACCAATATAGTAAATAATATTACCAAATGAGATATTACTCATTAGATAGTATTGTATATTGTGATTTGTCAAGTATGCTCATTTCCGATTTTCCTTAGTTATTACTATATTTATTCAAATTTTAATTTTATAAATTTATAAGTACTTGCACTTAATGACTATATTTAATAATTATCTTTTTACGTATTTTTTTTTCTTGTGACGATACAATCTTTTATTTTTCCGAATGATAATCATTTTTTTTAATCATAAGTATATAATGATTCATTAAGGAGATGATTTTTTTTTAAATGTTACATAAATCAAAATTTCAACGAATACCTGCCTAGTGCCTATAGTTTCTGAGTTTTGGTAATTACAAAGGATCAAAACCCGAGGTAATACACTTAAAAAATGGCTTTAATAATTTCAAAATTATAGTAATAAAATTAATTATTTATAATTTTGAAAAATTACCAAGTATTATACACGCTAGTTCAAGTAGTATAATATCTCTTTTATATTATATATGTAAGACAATTATCAAGATTTAAACATTTTTATCCTTAGTACATAAAGTTTAAAAATTTAGAAATTATTCGTTTGAAATAATATCTAGATTTTAGATCAGATAAAAAATTCAAAAACTTATCTGATTAACATTAATAATATAAAAGGGAAGTTTTCATTAAAAACAAATAAGTTGTTATCTTCACAAAATATTCCTTAGCTGATTTAACTAAATTCAAGAATTTGAAAAAAATCTATATATTTAAATAGATTTAAAAATTCCAAAATTAGAATTTTATTTTAATAAACACTTACATAAATAAAGGACAAAGAGGGGTGTGAATAATTTTGTATACTGTTAAACTTTAAAGCTATTTTTGTTTGTAAGTTACTCTTACCTATATATAATTTAAATTGCATTTTAAGAGCATCCCAATCATATTTATAATTTCAAAACAAAGGCAAGGAGATGTATAGTCTTAGAAAAACGTTAAAAACTGATTAATATTTTATTTTTTATTTTTTTCATGTGATAAAAAACTGATTTTTTTATCTCCTTAGCCTATACTATCTTATTTTATACAAGATTAACCGTATTATAATAATATTGGTGGTTAAAAAATCTCCCATCTTCATGAATATTAATTTAAACTACTGGCAATATACCGACTATTATTTCTATTCTTGATAAAAAACCAACGTCAAATTTAATTTTATAATATATACAGAGTGTGGTGTCAGACGAAGACCGCAAACCATATTCCGCAAGACGAGGATTGTAGGTGGCAGACCATCGCTACCTGGTGACTGGCCATTTTTGGCCGCAATCCTCGGGGGCCCGGACGAGATATTTTACTGTGCCGGAGTGTTGATATCCGAACAGTGGGTTCTGACAGCAGCTCATTGCACTGGAGGGTAAAAACATTGTAGTATTAAATACGACGATATTAATATGCGTTAAATATGAAAATAATAAGATGACATAGAAACAATAAAATTAATATGGTAATTGGTTTGTGTGTTTTTCCAGGAGGAAAATCCTGGGTGATCTTTCAGAGTGGACCATACAACTGGGCATGACGAGAAGACATTCCCATTCGTTTTTTGGTCGAAAAGTGAAAGTAGAAAAAATTATCAGACATGAAAAGTACAACAACGGGCCCGTTCAACACGACCACGATATCGCACTTTTCAAGGTACCTACCTATGTTTGTATTATAATATGGTAATGCAATATTATTAAATTATCGTTTTCATTCACTGAACTACACCGATTGATGAATACCGATCATAAATGATAATGTATTAAATGGCACAATATTACCACGCAGTTTCGCGTAGGGCATAAAAACGGCCATTTTGCTACGCATGTTTCAACAGATCTTCTTTCTATGTTTAAATGCACTATGTTTCATCGCATTTGTTACCATCGATAAAAGTTTTATTTAATACTTTTGAAATATGATTTAATTTCCTTACAGGTTTAAAATGCATATCTTATTAATAGTAAAATACGATGGTAAGATATATATTATATTAATTATTGTTTATTTAGTAGCTCAGGGCGTATTTGAAAAAAATGCAATTATCAATTTGTAGATTTATTAATCTATATATTATATAAATAAATATGTGAATATCTCTAAGAATCTAAATGTTTAAAGGAGCATAATATCAAGTCGGTGTCGGTGAGTGAGTGAATGTACAATAATAAACACTGTATATTATACCTATAAGACAGCCATCTATATTAAAACTGTGTAGGTATATTATAAATAAAATATTGTCGTTAGATGGCCGACATGTTAGTATAAGTTCATGATTCGATAGTAAAATACGTATATTATTCAATAATCTAACGGTCAGACAAACGTTTTTATTTTCAGCTTAGCGAAAAATTAACGTTTCACGAGTTTTTACTGCCGGTGTGCTTACCACCGCCGAATATGGTTTTGAAAGCAAATATAAGCTGTACAGTTATCGGATGGGGTAGACGCAATGGCCTCGAAGGTAAGACCAATAGGTTTTTTGTACGAAAAGTAATAATATGATAATATTAACAATTTAATCTCATCGTCATACATTTTCTATATTGTGCAATATAACTTAATCATTAATGATAATATAACATTATACATTTACATTGTTTTGAAATTAATGCTTATTATTACGTAGGTACACAATAATACACACATTCACTCACTACTATAATGTTTATTACGAACAAAATTCTGAAAATATTTATATATTATTAACTCGAAACTTGTAATTTGTATGCATAATAAACAAAATAAACAAATTTTAGTTAGCTAGTCAACAATGTAGTCAAATAGTCAAATATTTATTAAAAGTTTCTAATAATATAGTCTATATAAAATAAAAATTTTAATTTTAATAATAAAATATAAAATTATAAAACATTTAATTTTAATTTCTAAAAAAAAAATTATATAGCTTTATCGTTTAGATTTGATTTATATCGTATTGTTTTGAGAATAACTTATCAGTCTTAAGAATTATTAAGTGTTTGAATTTATGTATTTTAGTCTTTTATCGATTTTAATTAAATTATGTACCGATCATCGTGATTGCTCGTGTATTTGGAATCTGAAAAGTGAACTATATAAGTGTAAAGTATGCGGTAATATATGAATTCAGACGCATTTAAAATCGAAAATCACGGTTTATATTTGAAATTTATGTAATTAAAGTGAATATAATATTTGAATATTCGTAGATATTGTGTTATTATCATATAATTTAAATGATTATTATTTAATTATTAAAACGACGCGCGGTCAGACTTTTTATTCAATTCGACCGTGGTATAATAAATGTTTTTTGCAGGTGACTTATTACATATTATAGAATTTTTTTATACCCAAATTGTGTATAAAAAAGAATAGCTTAGAATAGAATCAAATCTATTTAATGGTTTAACGCGATTCGACAATTTAAATGTATGAAAAAAAACTCTTTCGCGATGAGGTTGTCAATGACGGATTATTCGTTCTCTTTCACCTGCACTCGGATTTAAACACCACGTCGGGTTATATATTTTATCTTTTCGACTGCATGTTTGAAAGTTTTAGGACCAACGGCTATTGTTCAGTGACAGATCAATAAATTTTTACTCGGTTTTTTCAATACCACGCACGAATATAGTATTATAGTAAAACCGCACTCCGTCACCATCGCCACCAAACCTATTAGGATACACGCGTTCCAAAATTTCGAAAGTTCTAAAAATCATGTGTTTTCATAAAATACGGATCATAAATTTAGCTTTTACCGATATAAATCAGATTTTTGCAGCAATATATTATTTATGCGCATATATTTTTGAGTTTTTTTGTTTCCGATTAAAATTTTTGTTTTCTAGTATAAATGAACCACTTTTTAGTGCGTTTTGTTAACGAAGGTATATAATATTATGTATGTTTATAATGTTTTCACTTTATAGTATAAGAATAGAATTTACAAGGCTTCGATTTCGAAGAATACATTTATTTTTTGTTACAAATAAATATATGTATCGATTTTAAAAGTTATTAATGTTCAACGGAGTAATCACGTTTAAATATAATATTTATTTAGTAAAATATAATAAAAAAGAAACCATAAAGTGGTTACTAAAATAATAGAATATTACAGACTATAAAAGTTTTCGTTTCTTAATAAAAACAAAAATAAAGTCACGTTTATTACTGTTTTATTAATGTAACATAATAATATAAAATTTAGTAAACAAAATAATTTGCAACACAACTATAAATTATTACATTCTGTAGACTGTTCAATGTGTTAATAAATTAAATATTACAATCCAAAATCTAATTAAATATAATTCATAACAATAAAAGAACCATACTTAGATAAAAGTCGGTTTAACATAATCGTATTGCTTCAAATTCACTATCCTCGTCACAGGATTAAAAAATATGTTGTGATATTAAATTAGAAAGTAATAATGGTATAAATTGTTAAAAAGAAAAAATAAGTTTTTTTTTTTTTTATCTTGGTTCTAGTTAAAAACACTTAAGAATTGCACTTGCTTGCATTAAAAAAAAAAAAAAAATACAACAATACATTAATAATATTTATAACTATTATGCTGTATGTTGAAAATGTAAATCATCTTCTAGGCACTAAGTTACGATATAATATTACCTAATTAATTCACAATTTACATTTTAAGTTTTGAAACAATAATTTTCAATTTAATATATCATTCAACTTGTTGAGGAATTTTTACTGGTTTATAAAGACATGGAAGTATTTTAGTAGAACACCTCTAACACAACAAATATTTCTCTAATAATAACTTTGCTGTTTAGTTAATTTTTTATTTGTGGCACTCTAAAAATTGTGTTTTCAGTCATTTTCTCCAAAACAGAAAAGATTTCAGTCCAAATCATATTTATTTTGATTTTGCTGACGCAATCTACTTAAAAAATAACCGAGTTATTTTTATATTACTTTTCAGTTCTCGATAAGTAACAATAGGTACTACTCATTTATTTCAGATGATGCTATCTGATGGTTACTTTAAGAAGGTACCTTAATATTCTTAAATACACAGTACTATTTAAAGCGTTAATTGAAGTCTAAATTACCCGTTTTACAATACCTGTAAGTTATTAGGTCAAACAAATTTAGCAGTCAATAGTATTTTAAGTTATTACATGATTTAATTATTATATAATATAATAAGATACTAATTTTTAATTTATATTAACAATCCAGCACAATATTAAATAAACAAAAATACAATACATGGAATCATAACTACTTAGGTATTTAAAATATTCACTAATTCACAATTCCATTTTAATATTTGATTGTAGTGCGTATTTATCTGCCTTCTTATTATTCATAAGTAAATTGAATTTAAGTAAATAAATTACTTATTGATATCAGCTAATTTGTGTATATTTGCTCGTCCTCTTCGCCAGTTTACATATCGTATAAACCAATTTTCATTGTAGTTTGAAATTGAAAAACGCTATCAAAAATTACACAGTAGTAAAGAATATTTATTATTAACATTTCACAAGAAAAATATTAAGTATAAATCTAATCTAGAATACAATAGAATCGAATTATCTCTTTCGACATTTGTTTAATGAGATAGGGTAGATTTAAAACATAACTGAAAATATTAAAATAATATTAGCAAACAATTATTAAAATTAGCTACCTTACGTTGTATCTTAATAATTTGTTAGATATAATCTACTTATTTTTTTTTTTTATGAAATACAAACTAGAGAGTTTTCAGATTGAGTGTTTTTAGGTTTTATATATCCAGTTATTATATTATTTTTCTATCAGCAAGATGGAAAAATAATAAAAAATCCGACTGCGTAAAAAAATACGCGAATATTTACTGACCTAATATTTTCTAAACTAAAATATAGTAATTTAAAATTTCTGAAAACATACACACACATGGCAAATATAACACTATTTTATTTGCATAAGCTCATGAGACTGGTAAAATAAACATGTATTTTTTATTACAAACAATTGTAAAGTGTTACTAAATAAAAATGAATATGATAAGACAATTTTTCAAATCAATTTTTAAATATTTGTGAAAAATCCTCGTTTTTTTAAATTGTATTGATTAATTTACTTATAGATTACAAGTGAAAGAATCAATGAGCTATTTTTTATAGTTCACAATGCTTTTTAACTAATAATTAAATCTATAAAAAAATATAGTATTTTTTTGATATTATTATTGATTTGAAACGTATATTCAAACAGTAAAATACAGCAATGGTATTTATAATTATATTATATTGCTTACGTATTTTATTTTATTGCAGATGAAAAATACGTATAACCCAATAAAGTTTTGCTCTTTAACAGAAAATACAAACATAATCATTATCGGGTTTTTTATGAAAATAATAATATTTCAATTACTAGGAAAATTTCAAACTATAACGTATAACTTGATAGTTATTAAAAAAAAGGTTTTACTGATAAAATTATTAAAACTATAATTATTTAAAAGTAACTTTTTTAAACCATTTATTTTGTTATGTATACATATATATACATATAAAATATATAGGATATAGGTAACATTTATTTGCCAAAAAATTCTTAAAAAATCCTTTTAAACTTCAAAACTAAAATATTAAAAAAATTCTAAATATAATGACATAATATTATACGATTTAAAGACACCTTTTTATTTTTATTTTTATTGATTGGCTTTTTAATACAGAAATATACTATTCCTATCATATATGCCTTATAAAATAATTAATTTACATATTTTAATAACGGAATATGTATTAATAGATATAACGGACGTAACAATTGCCATTTTTATTATATCAAAAAATTAAATAATATTACTAAAAGTTAATTTGACAAGTAATTCTTTTAAAATGTAATATTCATTCCATAATTTCTTACAATACGAATATAATAAATTCAATTTACAGAATGGTAATGTTTAAATGTTGGTATTGCTGTATATTGTTTAGTGTTGACCTAAATTATTAGTTATTTTTTCTTCAGTATTTTATCTTGATGTATTATTAATTAATTTTTATACAGTAAAATGTACTACAATTTAAAAATGTTAACTTACGATTTAAATATAATAAGTGAAAAAATGTTTGAAACAGATCAACATTTTACACCGATTGTATATTTTACTTAGAAAACCACGATTTCAAAATAAAATTTCTCACATTATGTATACTTCTAAAAATGTATCTACTGTTTATTTTGTAGTTCGTAGTCCCTGGATAAGAAAATAATATTTAAACGTTTATATCTTGTCACAACATTTTAAAGTGAGGTGATAGAAAATAAAAGAAATCGATTTTTTTTCTTGGAAATCAAATTTATATAGCACCTATCTGAATTATTATTACAAAATATTTTTCTTACGTTCATAATATACAAATGGTATATTAACACCTATACGTATTTATTATAATCAAAAAATCCATATATATTCGTATATAATACATTAATGCACATATAATTTTTTGAAGAATTCCGAATTATGGAACAATTAATTGATTTATATTTTGTTTCTATTTGTGTGGTAGCACAGTCAATAATTGATCAATGATTAATATTGACGTTTTTATTTTTTGCAGGAGCCGATTACGAACCAACAGTAAATGAAGTTCAAGTTCCCGTACTGGACAGAGATTTGTGCAACACGTGGCTCAAACAGAAAGACGTTAATATTACGGAGGGAATGATATGCGCTGGGTACGAACAGGGTGGCAAGGACGCGTGTCAGGTGATTATCTTTAAACAAAGAGTGGAGAACATAGTATCGTTCGATCGGATTCACTTGAAACGCGTAAACTTATTTAATTATAATTATTGGAACGTTTTGCGAGTTGTTATTTTTATTGTCTATACCATGAATTACGAAACACTATTCCGCTTTGTCATCAATTTTCAGGACTTTGTTCTCTACACAATTTAGTCGAATGAATTGATTTGGTACGTATAGTTATTGTGAAATACGTATGTATGCAACGTACGTTAGGTACGAAATAATACCAAGTGATTATTTTATCAAACAACACCCATTATTTCAAATTTTCAAAAATCTATTTATGTTTTTAAAAATATTTTTCATCGTAATTTACAAGCGAAATAAAACAATATTTTTAATATTTTTTATCATCATAATTTATTAAGTTTTTTGCATTTTTTAATGATAACATACATTTTTACATTCATATTCTTAAGTTGAAAATCGAAGCTTTTTGGGACTACTTATCGTGTACATCGTGTAAGTTCAATACAATCATATCACTCCATTCGGAGTATAAAAATCTAATTAAAACAGTTCATAAATTTATAAAACAATTTTATTTATGACTGATTTTGGCATTTTTTTATTTGTTTGAACAAAAACCTATCAATTCGTACTTATTACAGTCCTAAACTATACACTCTCGCACATAGGTACACGATTTTACAAAAACTATATTATATTGAAAAAATATAAATATCGTAAATGCGTAACGGTTACTGATTGTTAAGATGAACTGACTGCATAACAACAATAGATGGTACACTTGGTAAATTATCTATATATACACACTGGATATAAATCGATACATCGACTATAATTATGCACAATAATCGAATGGCAACGGATTTATAATAAACAAGTGATTTTTTAACAGGGTGACTCGGGAGGTCCACTACTGTGCCCGATGGAAGGATATAAAGACCGATGGTTCGTGGGTGGCATCGTCAGCTGGGGTGTGGAGTGCGCGACACCCAGCCTGCCAGGTGTATATGTCAACGTGCCGATGTATACGGAATGGATCAAGAACAATATACATACTGACCAGCTGTTTTCGTCAACAGACGACGATTATTGAACGTGATTTTCCATGAGCATGGCGCGATCGTTTTTCACCCCTCCGTTATTCCAATTCCTATGTCCCTTATCACCAAATGTACACTTCAAGCTGCAATTTTCTGTACGTCTGTTGTCTTCGATAATTATCGTCTTTGGATTTTCCTTACATACCAGAAAATAAAATATAAACGAAAAACAGTAAAGCGTAATAATACTAGCTTAATCAGTAGTGCAATGTCGGCTTACATCGTAAAAACGGAAGTATTCTTTAGGTACCATTGATATGAACATGATATCATTATGTATAATTTTCAATATTATATTTTACCACAACATTTTGTGATTTCGATCAGTCCATCGGTTCGATAGAAAAAATATGTAAAAACACAAAATTATCTTTTAACTTTTCATAATGATGTGTATGGTGGCTGTCGTAATATGTATGATCATCGATCAATATATTATGTAAAACACCGCGAAAAACCTCGCCATTTATATTATATTTGGTTCATCTACTAACAATTTAAACGCTTTAGGTATTTAGTCTAATATTTAAAATAAATTTTTCCTGAAACTATAAGTGCCTATACATTCAAATTTTATAAGGTACATTCGAAATTTTCGCTTTGTTTTTTGAGTATGATATGATAGTTTCATACTGTAAACTATGGGCAGTCAATAACTGATTTTGATTTACGGAAACAATGATTCGAAATTTTTCAAATGATACATTAACGGAGCTTATACCATTTGAATTTTGTGATTTGTGCTACTTTATACCCGTGTAATATAAAATATTCATCAATGTGATATTTTCACGTCATCTATCATCACTGTCGGTACATCATATTAGTTTAAATGTCCGGCAAATGACTTACAACCAAAAATTTTTTAGGAAATGTACCACACTATATATGTTTAAATAATATGGCACGTACAATCATAGTTATCCGTCCAAAAACATGAATCCTGATTTATCTTATAGTTTTATTTCGCTTGGGACTTTTATTAAAATAAACGATATATATATAATAAAGTGTAGTTATACCCTAACATTGTCTGACTTCTTGAAATCAAAATATTCATAATTATTATCTAACCTACTACTATGGTTGTATATTTACTATTAGGAGTACCACCCATTTTATTTTCTAGTGAGCGATATAATTAAAATACAAAACGTTCGACATCTGATAAAAATAGAAAATAGTATAATCACATATATATAATTTTAATTTATTTTTTTACCGAAAGACTTAACCATAATATTATTATCTACAAAACGTTAGCTTGCAATTTTCGGCAAAACTATTAATTTTCTATTCACGCACAGATAAAACTGTTATTGTGTCATTAGTCATAACTTCCTTATAACATTGAATTTAAAAAAAAAATCAAAATTGCTCATTGATGAACACACGCATACACATATACTAACACACACACACACACACACACACACACACACACACACACACACACACAGCAACATTGTTCAGTGCGTATTGCTCATGATTTAATTTATATTTTAGGTTAGTTATCTTGGAATTCCTGGGTACTGGAATTTCAATTGTGATTGATACTTTCTTTCCTTCGTTGATGCAGTTAACTCCGCTTTTAATATTATGTTCAATCGGTATTCAGTTCCAACAGTATTTTATTTCTTTGCATATGAATATTGTACAAAAGACCATGTATAAATTTGCTCACACGCACTGGATATTACAGTAGTATTAATACAAAATGACATAATGTAAATTATCATTCTGATTGTTATTTTATGATTAATTATATTAATGTTTATTAGTTTTGCGATTATTTAGTATATTATTTTGATTATTTTGTATATTTATAAGACGATTACGATGATAAATCTTCATTCAAAAATACTTTGACATCAAAATATTATGTTTATGAATACAAAATATTTTATACAGGATATATGTCATAGATAATTTCCATTTTTGGTTTGGTTGCAAACACAAAAATAATATTCCATCTGTAAAATGTTCATTTTCTTTATAATATTATACTCCTTCTTATAATGATAATACAATTTATTTTGTTATTATAACATCGATATTCTATACCGTTGAGGGGGATCATAAAGCTGCTGACTCGTTTTGACAGAAATGACGTCTCACGTTCATGTATTTGATAATGCGTTCCGGTATCTACCGAATGCGCGATGAGACATACCAGCAAATAGATTTGGTGAAATTTAAATTAAAAAGAATATCGTTGATACTTTTTTTTGTCCTTTTTTTTTTTTTCATTTTCATTTTCTGATATTGGTGAAAACTTGTTTTATCTTAACCGTGACTCACGAATACTTTTTTCGATATAAAATGTATTGGTGTAATAGGTAATTTTAAAAATATTAAAATTTATACTATGAAAATATTATGTTTGTCGGTTACAATAAAATTACACTTCTGAAATCAAACTTGTTAAGTTCCAGTGACTTTTTAAAATTTAAATTGATATATTTATAAATAGAGATAGATACTCTTGATTTCAGTAAATACTATAGTAGAAACTAATCTATCTATTTAAATTTCTAATAGTTGTTCGTCAAATTAATTTTATTTTGTGCTTTTATAGAATAAATAATTTTCTTGGGTTCATTGATCGACAATATTTACAAATTCTCATAATCATAACACATAGTCGCACAGCGGTTGACTCTAGTGGATAAACATGTGGTAGCAGGTACATAACACGTCTATATTATAATATAGAAATTTTAATCGACTTAATATTTTACTAATTTTATAATTGTCGTAAGTACACTGAAAACTAAAATAAAATTAATACTATTGTTTAATAATATAGTGTATAAGCGTGTTCCGTACCTACTTGCGTATATATCATAATGTTACTAAGGTGCACGCAGTGAAAACGCGTGAGATTTTCCTATTTTTTTCTCTAGATGAAATCGCGAATTTTCAAGCAATTATAAATTATATTACTCAAACACATAGGCATTCGCAGACTTCAATTATTACCGGTCGAGTCTGGAACAATTAATGTCCCAATACTTGGATAGAGCCTCTAATTTTTTTTTTATACATTAATGTACATTCTAATTGTTAATTGGTAAATTTCTAAACATATATTTTAAAAATAAAATTATATAAATACAATTATGCATAAAAAAAAGAAAATACAATACTGTAGTAAACCCAAAATCCCGAGTAATTATTTCATAAGCATAAAATAATATAATATAGTAAATTATACATCAAATATAATTTATGCTAATAACTAATGTAGCTATTGATAGTTTTACGGAGAATAGGTAAAACCTAGATCAAAAGGTAAAAACAACAAGTTACATAATAATATGTTATATGTATTGTTACTATATATTATATTATTATATTTATTATTATTAATTAATATGAATTTAAGCCGACAAATAATGCAGGCTATAGGCGTAATAATAATCACTATAATAGTTTTACGTTTTACGAGGAATAGGCAAAGCCTAGATCAAGAGGTGAAAATAACTTATTATTTTCACTATATTATGCATAATAGACACATTAAAGATTGGGATATGAGATCATCACGTCACCATACGTTATTAACAGAACCCAATAAATACGGGGCTAGAGCACCTAAATTTGTAAAGAAGGTAATTAACTGTAGACTTATGCACAACACGCTTACGACAGTGAGTTTGAGATTCATTTTAATTGTTTTAAAGTTGAACAAATAAAATATTATACATTTGTATTTATAATTTGTAAAATAAAGTGTTCTTTAATAATTTTCAATATACCTTCCTTCTCAATACGTCTCAAGATTACGCCGAACGTGTTACGTCGTTTAAATAATAATCGTGTTACCGATCGCAGTGTCTTGCTCACTGATCACTACAATACCCAAAATTTTAAAAAAACGTGGTTTAATGAACAAAAACTTGTATTTGTATACATAATATTATATTATATAAACTTAAATATGTATTAATTTTAATTAAAGAATTATAAATGAATTTTCCAATTTCCCATACTTTTGACTTCGTCAATGACAAATCAGAATTAATACTTGATATTAGTTTTGGTTCAGTTAACATTAATAATAAACTATTAAGTCGGTCTTGATGTATAGTACTGCTGGAATTAGTTTTTACTATTGTTAATTTAGAAAATACCCGTTTGCAGGAACAACTTGTAATTGGTATTACACTCAATAATTTCAGTTCAGTGAAAAATCCATTAAATGATTTTATGTAATTATTGATTGCTTTCATATTTTAATCTAGCCATGAATGTATTGATACATTATTAGTATTGTTGAAATTTTATAATGCCCTTAAAAATATTCCGGTCGAGCCAGAGCTCAACCGGCTCGTCCCTGCGCACGCTTGTGCTCCAACAATATATTGTATAACTATATTATACGTTGTTTTTATTATCAATATTATCATTATTATAATTATTGTTAGTGGTATTATTAATTTTTTTATTATTGTTATTATTATTATTATTATTATTATTATTATTATTATCATCATCATCATCATCGTAAATGCATGATTTGTATTATAATAAATTAACATAGTTTGTGGCTTTATTGAGTAAAAAATAGGATATCGGTTTATATATTTATCACCAATCGTTACACATAAGCGCATGAAACTCGATCATTATTAATTATTACTTTAAAAATTTATAAAGACCTTCCTACACTAAATACGTTAGCGTTGGCAATTAAATTATATGGTAGACCAGAAAATTAAAAAAAAAAAATTCGAGGGCCAATAAAAACTCAGATATTAGTTAATAATTTTATTGTTACGTATTATCGTAACTATTACTGTAAACAACGATAAACGAAAAACGCCGTCGTAATATCCAAGTACATCATAAAATATATATTATGAGCGGAAAACCAGCATTATTAAAAAATATTTTTGCGGTCCAATTATTTTTCCTCCACAGTCCGGATTTAGCCAACGTCTTGCCTATTGCCGACCACCGGTCTAATGTATACGTTCAACGCGTCTCACACGAAACAGGTTTATTGGTTATCCGTTACATAAAAGTTAGTTATAAACCATAATTATTTTGATATGACCTATAGTAGTATAGTCTATAAATGCTTTGAAGAACTCACTTTCCAAAAATTATACAAATCTTAGAAAAAGTATATCTGCTAAAGGACGACTTATGGTCCACCGAGGTAAAATAATATATTACCTATTAAATTATTGTCATCGACGCGAATCTTGATACACGGTTAGTGACTCGTGCCTTTACTTAATACTTACTCGACCCAGGCCAATAACTTGATTGTCGAGTTTATAAAGATAATACTTTTATACTGAACATCGAGGTTAGAGTTCGGGTTTTAAATACCATGACGGTTGGTGAACGGACAAACTATGCGATATTGTTTAGACGATACAATTTGTACACGAGTAAAGCGAAACAAATCAGTAGCCGCCGGTGAAATTCAAAGGCGTTAAAGAAGTTGTGACTGTTGTGAGTAGATAGCCTACAGTAACTGATCATCGTATAATTATCGCTCTGTCGCGGCTGGTCATGTACTCAATGCTCATGTCTATATACGGTCGTTGCCTATGTCGCACGTTCTCATATCTGTACAGTTTACATTTAACAGAGTTTAAGTGGTTAATCCAAAGAAAATATATTTTTCATTGATAAGATCAGCTAGAAAATACTTGTATAAAATAATAATAAGTTTAACGGCGGTACATTAAGTGCTTACGAGAGTTCATCAACAATATGATCATTATATTAACAAGAGTACTATAAAAAGAGCTTCCGCAACCCCTTTTCCGGTTAATAATTTAACAAAAACTCGTTTGTCGTTTAAACGTAACACTGTTGTAATTTATATAATATGCATTTAGTGTTTTCCACTATCGTATATTATTATTGTACGGTGTGCCAATATCGTTTCATTACCACGAACATTTGATGCGTTGTATACACAATTTTGTAAGTAGTTGTTTTCGCTTTCCGGTGGTATGAAAGGATTGCTCTACCGCAAAACAACTAACATTCGGGTGGTGATCGGCGAGGGAACAAGATCGGTTGTAAACACTAACCACGTCCAGAGGCAGTCGACGGACATGGCTGGAGGC